TTGTCTACTCTAGCCGATTTTCCTAATGAAAATCAAATAGTTCCAAGCAGGGTTGCTTCCGCTCACTTGCTATAAAAAAATGATTTCCTGAATTCTGAAATCATTAGATGTTATAATGATATTTTGTACTTTTTAGATACAAGAAGAGGTTGAAGGGCAAGTGTTTGACTCATAAAATCTGAAAATTTCGCTACTGAATCGAGTGTTACAATCAGCGATCTTATGATTCGTGAGCGTTCACTCAGAGTGAGCGCTCGCGAGTCGTAAAATCGCTGACTGTGACTATCTGAAAGCAAATTTGACAGGTTTTATGTGTCAAACACTTGCCTTTCAACCTCTTCTTGGATCTAACAAGTACAAAATATCATTATAACATCTAATGATTTTAAAATTCAGAAAATCATGTTTTAATAGCAAGTGAGTGGAAGCAAGCCTGGTTCCAAGGTCATCTAAGCTTCTAGTCTACAACTACTATTAACTGGCTGCTTCATTTCGTCAGGTTCATCGACCAATTCAATGGATTGAACAACATAACATAACATAACATTTGACAACATAACCATTAAATTTATATGCAATTACTTGCTCTGACTGTTCTCATGTGCCATTAAAAGTTATGGACCGCGATTTGCAATTACTAGGTTTCAATAAAGATTTCAAAATTTTCCATAACGCTTTGCTGTTGTTTTGATGCCGATTAATCTTGATGATCATCACTATTTGATCTACATTTTTTTTGTGCTGGCGCCGGTGGTGTAGTGGTAAGCGTGACTGCTTTCTCATCCCAATTGGTCTGGGTTCAATGCCAGCCGAGGTCGGTGGGATTTTTCTGAGGCATAAAAATCTCTGGTCACGTCTTCCTTCGGCAGGAAAGTAAAGCCGTTGGTCCCAGTCCATGCGTTTTATTGAATGGATGTGATATCCTACGCAGATGTAGAAACTGCTTTCCTGTACATTCGATTGCGGTCAATGGATGGCAATCGATGTCCGTCGGTGATTGGCACTAGATTGCGGAAAGAGACCGACGTTAAATAAAGTCAAAAGTTCAATTAAAATGGATTTAATTTTCAATGAACCGTGACCGTGTAAATTTCAGCTTTACTTCATTGAACATTTGAACATCAGACTGGTGATTTTATATTTAAAAAAGTAGAAGGGTCTGTGCCTAAGGGCACGAACGGAAGCTTGACGTAGGACCGCTAGTGGATGGAACAAATGTGAACATTTAGTTCTTTTAATTGATCAATCATCAATTATCTTAACTCTTTCCGTTTTTTATTTGTAAGCGTATCAAATTTGTAGTATTTATTTCAAAGAGAAAGTTGATGAAGAGAATCCAAGGGACTGTCAACTTGAGTATTTTTGATTCATCTACCCGACTTTAAAAGGTGTATTTTGATTTTTTTGTTTTTTTATGATTTTTTAAGTTTTGTGCATTTTGGTATTAAAGTGTATTCAATTCACCCCTCACAGGATTTCCTTCCGAATTATATGAATGGGGTGGGGCGGAAAGTATCGTTTGTGCAGAATATGTAAAAAAAGGAGGGACTTCGAGAGATTGAACTCGTGAGAGCTAATTTTCTCACAAATTTGATTTTATTGGCTTTCTGGAGACTGAATATACACCCAAAGCCGATGATTAATCTCACCAATACATTCGAGCCTACAATTCCACACCTTCTATAGAGACCAGGTTGAGCCTTGATCGCTAGCTGCTTGCGAGAACTGATGACCTTGAAAAATGTCCAAATAATACTCTTAACAAATTTATAGTGGTCCTGAAAAGGACCGTTTTGTAGTGATGGTTGAGTAATGCTGAGCTGAGCCCGACGAGCTACTGATTCCGATCCTAGCCTAGCGGTGGGACTTCTTCCTCCTTCTCTATGGTTGCTCATATGAGCTCTGCAGCTCGCTGCTTGCAGGCAGCCTTACGTTGTTGTTGTTGTTGTTGTTGAAAGCACTCCTGCTGCTGCTACTACTGCTGCTGCTGGACTGGACTGGACACCACCACTTACGGTGATTGAATGAGCACCGTTCAGTGGGACCGCATCGAATTCGATTTTTAAGTCTGTATTAGGGAATGCGCTGTTTTCAGACATTCGGTGATAACTTTGATCACCATTGCAACAGTTGTACATTTGGTATTTTTCAATAGTGACCTATTGAAAATTAACTAAGTGTTCATTTTAGCAGATTGGTAGATAAATTTCCAATCGTTCGGCTTGTTTAGAATTAAAATCTATCTGCTATTGGTTAAAACCTCTTTTCGTAATACTGTGCATTTTGGTTTTTTTAAATTGCGTGGATTCTATAGATCCTGTGGAGATCTATCTAGCCCTGATGTATGTGTTGGTAGAGGGAAAAATGTAAACTTTGCGGGAGACGGTGTGAAAGCAATTTTGTGAAATATGAAGTAAAACAAATCCTAGCTAGTTCTGCATGATAATATTGTTTGATTTTATTTATTTGTTAAGTCGCCGGGAAATACCAGCTGGCGATTTGTTTTTTTTTTTATGATAACTCCTTACTTGAAAACAGGCAAAAACTCACAAACAGGCTGCTTTTTAATGGTATACAGTGTGATAATACAATAATCAATAAATTATCTCAACATTTAGAGGCAAACCTTGCATAAATTTTGGTAACATACAAAAAAAATCTATAATTCACATTAAATTTCATATGTAAGCGCCGATTGAAACAATCTTTTCGACGTCACTACAAGGGTGATTGATTAAACGAAAGAAACAAATCGTGCGGAATGAAAGCCGAGGAAAAACTAATTATACCAATATATTCAGGCTTACAATTCCACACCTTCTATAGACAGGTTGCGCCTTGATAGCTAGCTGCTTGCGGGAACTGATGACCTTGACCAATGTCCAAATAATACTCTTTAACAAATTTTTGGTGGCCCTGAAAAGGAACGTTTTGTAGTGATGGTTGAGTAATTCTGAGCTGGGTGTTCAACACGGATGAGGCTGTCGAGTTGTATGTTGTTTGGAGCGAGGGTTGGCATAGATGACCGACCCGCAGCGACTCACGAAGAGCTACTGATTCCGATCCATAGCATAGCGGTGCAACTTCTTCCTCCTTTGATGATTGCTTATGTGGGCTCTGCAGCTCGCTGCTTGCAGGCAGCCTTTCGTTGTTACTGGAGAACAATTTTCAACACCACACGCCGAAAGCACTGCTACTGCTGCTACTAATTTCGAAGACCGAACACCACCACACAGTGGTGTGGTCGTTAGGAGCGTGTGGTTCTGAGTATGGCGATGAGTGTGCAAAATATTATGCAATTCCATCCTCCCTATTCGCACGCGCCCGAGGATCGGAGGCGAATGCCACTTCGACTTGTTTCGTCTACTTACTACTCTCTGACGACTGTGCTGGGGAAGCAGCATATGCATGTAGGTAATTGGTGGATTTGTTAGTTAATTCGACGCTTTTGGACAATGCTGGACATTTACCAGTTTTTCAATAGTTTCTTGTTAAAAATCAACATTTATCGATGCGTAGCCATATTTCTGATCGATTGGTGATAAAATTATTGAAATTGGACCAGGGGCAGCTGAGTTATTAACGTTCAAAATCTTTCTTAATTTGTTACATGTTCCATTTTCGGTTTTCACAAAGTGTACCCCCATATAGAAATCAAAGACGTAGTCCTACGTCAAAACCTGCTCCAGTTGGTAGTTGGAAATTAAAAAATATTTTATCTGTGTAGATAAGCAAAATGCTGGTTTCCAAAAATTAACAACTTTATCAACTTTATCAGAAGATAACTCTAGTTTAGGATTTTTCATAACAGATGTTTCCTTCATTGAAATATAAGCGGTTCATAAACCGAATACAGACAGCGTATGATGAATAGTAAAGAAATATTAAAATTTCGGCTCAATGACATTCGACCTAATGGTGTTTGGCCCAATGAATTTCGGCCTAATGACCCATCACCTCCGGAATAAATCTGGATGCAGTCAATTTGTTGCGTCGCATGATGTGTTCAGGTAAAATTCAGATACTGGCCACTTCCCCAGAAATTTTCCAACCCGAAAAAAAATCCTAGCCTGGACCCGGAATCGAAGCCAGCCACCTCCAGCATGGTCTTGCTTTGAAGCTGCACCTTTACCGACTGAGCTAATGCTGATCATATATTTTACTCAAAAGTTTAGAAAACATATGTAATTGAACTTTCTATGGATGCAATTACGCTACCAGCCAGACCACACATTACGCTATTCTCTAACTTATGGCTTCATTTTTCTCTCCAAATCACCCTGCGCCAATAACTTTATCCTCCAAGATGCATCCATCCGGTAGCCCCACTCCTAAAGAATCTCCATTTCTTCCGTTTATCTTACTCCAATTACCATCGCTCATCGCCGCCACCCGGTTGGCCCTTTCCCTCTATCTCCACTAACCGTGTTTTTTTTTTTTTATTCGCCTCATCACTTTTTTTTTCTCCTACGTATTCACATCTACGCTCTGCCAGTCAAGAAACGCATAGGTACGTCCATCCTTGCCTTAGGCCCCTACGTTGTTGTTTGCTTCAACCAAACCAGCGACGAACCCATCTCGTTTAAAACTCTTCAGGAAAACCTGTTTGGTGCTGGTGCTACGCTACTGCTGCATCACGAAGCGCCTAAAATACCAACCAACCGCAAGGCCTTCTCTTGGATCCCAGCCCAGCATCCGTGTGGTGCCGATCGTGCCTGTTGATCCACAGCATAAAGCATAGAGGACTCTCGTCGTCGACGACACCATTCCTCGATCGCGTGGTAGAGCCTCGCACATGATTCTCTCGCTCTATTAAACATCAGGGGAGATCACGTTTCTCTTCATCGAGTTTTATGCGTTACGCTTGGCGTTTGTTTTGGATTCCAAATCTCACATGCTCACTCTCTTACCACCGCACCGCTCGCAAACGTCGAAAGCTCACTTGATCGAGTTCGAGAGAGTGTTGTTTACTGCGAATGGACGTGAGCCGTAACATGATCGCACTCATCGCCTTTCAGTGCATCGTAGTCATCCGCCGCGATCGGTTCGGTTTGAGTTTTGTTTTTGTGAATGGACGGATTTGATTTTATGTTTGTTTACGGAACTGTGGAAGTGGAAGAACGTTTGCTCCGTTGTGCGTTTACCTCCTCCTATTCTGGTCGTAGAAGAACACGTGTACCTGCGTGAAGTGGTTGTCAAGGATAACCTGGAGTACGTGTGATAGTGGAAAAGATATTTGAAAGGAATACCTTCTTAATGATTTTGAATTTTCTGTCAAGAAAAGTTGAGTCGGCCAAGTGATACAGTAACCAAACGTTGTGAATGTGGATGTTTTGGAAGATCACCTGAAGGGGAAGTGATTTTGGAATTCGATAACAAAAAAAATTAAGTCACGGTTACATAATTAAACCTAGAAACCTGATGGGAAGATAAATCACCTACCATCAGTCAGTGAGTGAAGTAAGTGTCCAAAGAAGAAACCAAGATGCAGTTCATCAGCAAGCAGCGCACACACCCTCGACGGATTTGGGATACTTTACCTCGCAAATATTGGATTAAGCGGCCGTCAATGGCCGGCAGCCTCGCCTACAACTTTTTGGAGTACCATTGTCACCTCCTTCGCACTTGAATCGAGAAGTGCATTTCATAATCTTGTGGCTCAAGTATAATTTTCGACCCATATTTACCGCCGTTTTTTCGAGATTCAGCTTAAGTGCCCTACTAGTCATCTCTCAGCAAATCCGAAACAAATCATTGCAGTCACTCTGCAACCAAACTTTACCCACGACGACGCCGTCGCCGACGACGACGACGAGCCGACCTAGCAGCAGATGAAGAAAGGCAATTAAAGTTTTTCGCAATACATATTGACATCGTCGTCGTTGTCGTCGTATTCTTCTTCTTCGTAGTGTGCAGCTTTTCCTTCGTCACCCTACCAGTAGGTAGGTCATTGAGCGCAGGGACCTCATAAAACGAACCGAGGTAGTCGTGATTCGCAAATCGCACCCAGCGTACTTCAAAAGGGGCACCCCTTTTTCGGGCCGAAGGAGATTGATATTTGGCTTTTTTTTTTTGTTTCTCTTTTCAACATGGTCGCAACATAAAAGTTGCATTTAGGATTCGCTTTGCACACCAGCTTCTCCGGTGGTGGAGACGGAGCTTAAGTGTTTCAACTCCTCTTGGGAAGCTTTGAGGAGGAAAGGAATGGAAGATGTATTAATGCGATTAATTTTTATTTGCGCAGTCTTCTACAATTTCCAAGTGCTCGTGTAGACAATTTTTCATACAACAGAATGACTCTTCTATGCACCGGCAAAACGTCGAACGGGAATAGGTAATGATCACGAAGATTGTTATCGTTTTCGATGGCTCTGGGTTGGTATCGGTTCCGACCGTGTACACGCCTGTTAGGGTAGACAGTGGAAATTTCAGCTGTTGAGCTGTCGCAAAATTTCAGAACCGGTTCTCCGCAAGGCAGAGATCAATATACTTTGGATGCTTTCAAACAAATGGTCGCAGTTTGAAAAACGGACACGTTTCTGGCTGTCATTAGCCTCAGGGGTAGATTTGGTTTATTGAACGCACGTAGAAAGGTTTCGATGATTTATGGTGTCGTAAATGTTAAACTTTTATGATAGAGACCGTTTGATGGATGATTGATTTTTTAAGCTCGACTGGATCATAATATTTTCGATTTTTGATTGACGTTTGGAATACTTTGGTTTTTATTTTTTGTCCGAAGACCTCAAAAATTTTATGTCCATCATACTAAATTTGTTTGAAAGCTTGGATTAACCAAAAATATCACCATCTCATTTTAATAAGAATTATTAAATAAATTACCGGCATAAAGAAAAATGTGCCCTAGAAATCTATGCGCTTTCTCACTCATTCACTTACTCACTGAGCGCCTCCAGTGGGCCAACGTGAAAGATTTCCATCCTGGGCGGCTACATGCCTTTGTCTTTCTCACTTACTTTGACACAAATCTAGACTCGACTAGCGATTTTTTTTTAATCGGGTTGGAACCAGTTCTAAACCAGTGCGAAACCTAACTTTTCAGTGTAAACCTCAACATGAGGAAGGGCTTAAAAACAAGCGATACTCCATCCAGGCTGAAACTAAATCAAAAACAAATTCGGTATTAATGAAATAAGTCAAAAATAATGCAAGGCTGTAGAGTCGGAGTCGGACGCATTTTTTGTCATAAGAGTTGGAATCGGTGAAAAGTACTGACTCCGAGTGTTATGAAAAATAATTTTAAACTAGAACATTCATAAACCATCTAAACGCAGCTTTACTGTAGAGTATGATCTTACAAACCTCTCTTATTACCGTTCAAAACATAATGCTTTTAAAAGTACATATTGTCGATTCTCGTTGAAAATGGTCAAGAGTTGTGAAAATTTCCATTTGAATTTGCCCCCAAGTTTTGTTTAAAATTGTAACCACTTTATTCAAAGTAACAGAAGAGCATTTCCATGCCAAATAACAAAACAAACATAATTTCAAACTCGTTTTTTTCCCTATTTTGCATGAAACTTTGCATAATTGTTGTTATAGTAAATCACTCATATTCGGCCATTTCGAATGTCGTAAAAAATTCAATATGTCGTATTCGATATATTTCAACAAATCGTAGCTCGAAAAAGTCACTTTCAATCAATGACACAGAGTTGTAGGAATAATATACACGGTAAAAAAAATCAAGTAATTGTGAGTCCAAAAAACGGTTTAAAACTAAAATAACAGAAAATTGCCCTCTTCAATATGTTTCATTAAAAAGCTTATGAAAACTGCTATCTTCTGTGAAATTTTCAAATTGGATACTTACCAATTAACAAAAATAATAAAACAACAACATTTGGACATTTTTTTTAACTTCTTCTTTAAACAATGTTCGGTAATATGTTTTACAGAAAACCAGTTACTAAACATTTAAATACGTTTTCTGCACAAAAATTTACAAAAAAAAATAAGTTGTTGTTATATGTGTATAACATAAAAATTTAACTGAAAATTGATTTTTTTATAAGGTTTTTAATGGAAATCATTCAAAAAATATTAAAGAGCGTATTGTTTTGTTATTTTAGTTTTCAAGACTTTTTTGGATTTTTTCTCAAAATTTCGAAGTGACGTTTTTAAGTTATGACTTGAGTTGAAAAATTTAGCGCAAATGTGAATGATTGACCATAATAAACAATTATACAAAGTTTCATGCAAATCAGATAAGTTAGCGTCAGATAGATTCCTCATTTGGCGAGGAACTGCTCAGAAATATTCATTCAAATGGCTTTCCATTTTTATTTACAAATGCGAGCAAGTACGTTAAAAGTTGTAATTAATTTAAATAGAAACTGCGATCGATTTTGTTAACAATTGTGATCAATTTTTTTTTCGGGGAGGTAGCCAATTTCGTTTGCAATTATGACTAATTTTTCTGGAAATTATGACCAATTTTCTTAAATTACATTTCAATGAAAGCTGTTATTGTTTCTATAAGAAGCTGTTGCAAACACCGATTTAATAAGTTGCAATTTCTTTATGGACCACTTAACAAATATTTTTTATAAGTTGTGTCCTGTAAATTTAATGATTTCAAAGTTCAGTTGAGTTCAATGTTATTCAATATCTTTTGAAGTTGTGATTTTTTTATAGAATCATGCATTTTTTTTGAAAGATACACCATTTTGTAAAAATTTGTGTTCGATGATATTGTGTCTTAAGAACAGTAATTATTTCTCAAGATTATTGAAACTATGCTATTGTCAGTTAAGTATTTTGGATTATTTTTTAAAGATCTATTAATGTTGAATGTACTGAATAAATCACTAGAATACTTCCCATTTATATTTTCTTGTTTCATCCGGATTTATTTCAAAATACTTAGGTTGAATTACTGGGCTGATATTCAGTCTTTTTATTTAAATTTATTTGTTTCAATCACATACAGCAATTATTCGTAAGTTTATGCTTGAATATACTTTATTTTTTTTTTTAGATTTTAAAATATTGCTTTTAATATTTTATAATAATGGCTTTTCTTATATTGGCCTACGAATCCATCGATAAAAGTTTCCTGCTACTTATTTTTTCCTAGAAGAATGTCACATCTGGACAAGACAAAAAATGGTTATTATTGCATGTTAATGAATAAATGATCATAAATGCTTTATTCCGGAATTTAGCCATAAGAACTTAGGTCGACATTGCGGATATCAACCCTACCTAACCAATTGGAATTTTATAGAAGAAATTTTCAATTCCTTTTGTTTGAATCGGTCTCGGAGTTGGGGGGTTGGAATCGGATTAAGAGTCAGTAAATAACAAATCTGAGGAGTTGAAATCGATTTAGATCCGCGCACAGCCTTGAAACAATTTAATCGTCTGATTCTTTTAATTTATTTACACGTTCCTATTATTTAGTGTTCTGCACTACTGAGGATACCCGACAGAATCAATGCAGTACCGAAGGCAGAAAAACATTTTTAGAAAGTCTAGTCCTGTTTGAGCTCCTAATTTTTATCATATGCAAATAATAGTTTTCTTCTTCATCCTCTATCACTTACTCTGTTGCCTTGCTGTTGCTGTTGTCCAACTAGCACCTCCAGCCACCACACTAGCGTACGAACTACTACCATCTCTCTGCTTTGGGGCTGTCCATAAACTACGTAGACAGTTTAGGTGGGAGGGGGAGGTTGTCAATTATCCACGGCCCATACAAAATTATTTTTTGTGTATGGTCAATTGTCTACGCAGGGGGAGGGGGGTCAAGAATCCAAAAAAAAACTGTCTGCGTAGTTAATGAACAGCCCCTTTGTGCCTTTCATTCTGTGTCCCTCCATCCTGCATACGAAACACCTGTTTTTAATCCCGTCTTAAATAATACTCCGCTTGAGATCAAGCAAATGAGTCGTAACGCGGGTAGATCACCTTTACGTGGTGCGTTACCGGTGTACACCTATTTTGATTGATCAGAAAGCACGTATTTGGGGAAGTCTTAGAACTCTTCGAATGATACGTATCATCAACAACTGAATGAATATTCTTGTGAGATCTATTTCGATTTATGAACTAGCCGGAGCCTAAAAATCTCTTTAATAAATGAGAAAAAAAATGCTGAAGGAGTGTGTCTTTGGCAAGGTCCCAGTACACTTCGAATGATGCGAAACATCACAAAAGCTTCTTGTGAGAAGAGCCAATATGAATAATAACTGTATCGAAAACGGATACCTTATTACTTTTTCCATAGTATTAGCACTAAACAAAGGAAACGGACACATCACAAAAATCACAAAATGAAAAGGAGCGAGAAGGGAATTTTCATTTTCACGTCCATATACACGCCTTGTACACCTGTGTCCATGTCGAGGCGCAGTTCCGCAGAGTTTCTTCCACGTTGCCTTTTTTGACAACTGTCTAACTTATCGCTGCCGCCCAAATTTCGTTTGTTAAAGCCC